TATATATTATATCATATTATATAATATATTATCAATGTATATTAAAAAATAAATAATATAAATTTCCCCAAGTAAATCGATACGTATACAATGAATCTTCAAATCCACATATATCTGTATATGTTTCGACGGATGTACTGATTCATGTTCTTTCATGCTACTTGTTCATCTGATATAGTATGAATGTTGACGGAAGTATCGATAAACCTTCGTGGGCATGCAAAGCAATGTATTTTGTGAACGGAATTTTACGCATAAAACGCCATTTTGTTTCAATCCTGTACCGTATGGTTTAATTATTATTTGGAGAGCAGTGCTCTTCTAAAGGAAACGGGAATGGTGGAGTACGGCTGCAATATATTTTATAATTTAATGTCTACAAGTAGACCCTTTTGTCTGCAATCGCAAGATATATATGGTCCACTATATGGTCCATAATATGAATGCGAGGTGCTTGTGAAAGAGTCTTCCAATGCCTCTTCATCAGATTCTTATCTTGTAGGTTTGAGACATCGTATCATACGCTTGTGTGCCTTGTACATAGTTGTGGTTTATATGTATTCTCCGATGTATTCAGGAAGCGGATAGGTTTGGTCAATTGACGAATAACATCATTATGGATACCCCGGGGGGCTGGAGCAGGAGGTACGAACGGATGGTCGCACAGGTGCCACGACAAAAACAATCCAATGACGATAGAGGGACACATTTTTTCCAGGGCAATTGGGAACCTGTTATAGGTTGTGAGACCATGAGGAAAATAGGTTAGTGGCCCCATAAACTCAATATGCGTTTCAGATGTGGATTTTACCAATTTGTTATATGCCGGTTGTGGACCTATCAACGGTCGGTTGAAAACGCAAATGGTCTATATTGCTCAAGTTGTCTGCTCAAATATTCTCTCCGGTGTGTAATGATCGTGTTTTCGTACTACAGGTGACATCTCGGACTCTGGAAAGTGGATATGTAATCCGGACAATATGAAGAAAACCGGCGAAAAGGTTCTAATTTATTCGCTAGGGTCACGTAATGAATATGACTTCGAGGAGGATATGTACAAGTTCTTCGAAGGCAATGTAGAAATCCATACTTTCGATTTCGGCGAACCAAGGAGTAAGTTTAGATTCATTGTTTAGACACCGGCGTAGCCGACGGATGAGTGTAAATGCACAGGACATCGCGAGAGATTGTCGATCGCTTGGTGACATTAGTCTGTAAGGTTTTGCACTTTTTGGTCAAACCATGAGTTTGCCATGCGTTTTCAGTAGTCTGGTTATTATACTGAAATCAATTGGGTCAGATACTTGCAGTCTCGTTTGTCCATGAATATACACATGTTCAGTGATCAACATGTACCATTAGCTACAAACTATTATCTCAATCCGACGTATTCGCCGCTTCCAATCGTTCAGACACGCCGCACTACGTGAACTACCATCAGTGGGGCATTGGAGGTGAAGACGTAGAGACTGAAAGGGGTACCTTCAAGACTTTGCACACAATAATGGAACTACTAGGTCACAGCGACAAAGTTATAGACGTCTTCAAAATGGACATCGATGGAGCTGAGTGTGATGCACTCATCCCAACGATAAAAAACGGCTGGTTCAACAAGATCAATCAGGTATGACAACAGATGAGATGTGCGGTTGTGGCTTTGATACTACGTTGGCATGTACCAGGAAGCAGGATTAAACACCCGGCGTATATGCACGAATTCCTTATACGATGTTTATTATATATCGGGTCCAAGAAAAATATGATACGCAACAGAGCCAGTTCAAGGAAGGTGATTGCGCACATGCCCATCCTCGCACATTAGTTTCTCTCTCTTACGATTACAAACTACACTCCTCACAATGATAAAACCTCATTATCAAATCTTTCCCATTTTCACAGCTTCAAATGGAAATCCATTTGCGCGGTCCAAAGGTTCCGAACTCACCGAATGCGCTTGAGGTGCACGAGATGATGATGCTGTTACGTGAGCATAGCCATTTAGAGGTCTTCAATAAGGAGCCGAACACTATGCATGCGGGAGGATGTATTGGTAAGACGGATACACATTTTGAACTCGCTAACTGATGCTCTTACAGGGTTCTGCTCTCTTGCGTAATTAAGCGTTCGAAGACGTATTCATTGGATTTATACTTCAAGATATGTACTTATTCTAATATTACTGCCATCTCTATTCATTATACAGAGGTTGCGTGGGTGAAGGTTGATTGGGCTCAGTTGGCAGGCCTAATGCCTGGATTTGATATGAAGAAGGTGTATGACCGGGAATTGTATAAATTTTAGGTTTGCTTTATAATTAATTATTCCGGTCGCTTACGCGCGGCTAGGATGCAGGATAAATTAGCGACAACACGACCTACAAAGGAACGCTGACCAAGACTGGGTTCCTTTGAAATAAGGTCTGATGAATGATAATAAATGTCCTGTGAGTGTGTACAGTATTAGGATTGGTCAAAATTGTAGTCACCCACCACATCAGTCCTTGTAAATTGTAGCAGAATAGCCAATTAGTCTTTCCGATCAGATTTCAAAAGCACCTTCATTCAATCAGACTTTAAAAGCACCACTATTCAAAAGCATTTGTCTTGTCACGCAAACACCTGTTTGTACCATGCTGTTTTGGTTCGGTGTACTCTGAACTTAGATCCAAGATGACTCTTAAGCGCATGCATCAGTGAATAAACTACTACAGAATAATATGCCGTTAACGCAAAGTCATGTCATACTTCTTTCACATCCAAAACAAAATACTATTTCCCCCTATTGTTCTGTGCGTTACAAACACACTTTTTATTCAATCATTATACCTCTCACCGAGCCATGATGAGCTCAGTGAGGAAGCACGGCCCCTAACCCTAAATTTGTTACTTTGCTGATTGGCGGTGACTAATTCCAGTATTACGGTGGCACTGGTGAATGTCACTCCGAGTATACGATGATTCCAAATGACTACCGCACCGCAGAGTAAATGGGAATCCCTGTAATACATGCTCATTGTGGGGCTCGCAGACTGGAATACCCACAGTAATATTTGAGAGCAAGTACGGAACTGTTTATCCAAATATAATGCTACACCCGTATTATTTCGCACCCAATTCCACCTGCTTGGTCCTTCGGAGATTGCCAAACAAGATACAGACTCACAGAGGCATACTGATCGGCAATGGTTACGAGCAGCAATGATGCCGATTACAAATCGCATCGCACGCTGGTCCAGGAGCACTGAACGGGTGATAGCATCGAGTACACTATATATTATTGTCTGGTTGTGTCTACCCTCGTCTATAGCAAGCCCAAAAGCTCAGGCGTCTACGCTACCTGCTTCGAATGAGTGCTGGTGCACTAATAAATGCCTATTCCACGGACCTCGATTCCCAACGCAACATACGATGGTACGAGGATACTGATCATGCGTGTGGTTATCAAAACGAGCGGCGAGCTCTCCCGTGCAGCCAGCGCGTGTACTTCTTTGCGGTGCCACACGTCATTATGGCACTCTCTTACACTTTTAAATGCAGTTCACAAGCGTTCCTATAAGCATAAACACACACCAAAGAGCGCTTCATTTCACTATGTTCAGCCATCGCAGCAGAGTCAGGGCCACAGGAGTAGTTTGTTTCTTATACGTTTGTAAGTCGACGTACACCCTATCCGGCGGAAATGTGTTTTCAATCCAGTCTACTACATGCATGTCCGCCTCACCCCAAACTGTTGAATTAGATTATATTGGGAAACAGTGTGAGTTCGGTGATCTAATGGCATCAGCTTGTGACGAACAACGCTCGTACCATTGTAATAAACTTATTCAGGACACGTAACTTGCTTGGGGGTGAGCTTTTCCGAATGATATTCACGTGAATTTAATTCGGTAGAACTGAATTGTTAGAGTTGAATTGGATTGAAATGAGCTGAAATAAATATTATAGGATTGTATCGGACTAAATTGAATTGGATTGAATTGATTTGAAATAAGTTATATAGGATTGAATCGAAGTAAATTGAATTGCATTGGATTGAATTGGATTAAATTTGGCTGAAAAATATATATGTGGGATTGGATCGGATTGAATTGAATTGAATTGGATTGAATTGGAATGATTTAGTTTGATTTATGATGAATATATATAACTAACTGTACAAGAATATAGTACAAGTTTCTGTGGAGTCCTTAAATGTCCAAAACTAGGTGGCATTTTTGATTTGTCAAATGCATTAAGGGGAGGCAAAACAGATTTAATCTCCAGCTAAAATAAGTGAGTAGGCACCCACCATTCCTAAAAGTGGTACATAAGCATCCGCCACATGCAACATGACCTATGAGTTTAAAGTACACCTTGGAAATATCCCGAACTTCGGAAATCCTGCTAAACTAACACTGTGAAATGCACCGGAACAGCCATTACACTTACATGTGATGGTGTACAACGGATCGGCATCCAACAGACGAAGCATATCCTTCTCGGAATTGAGCGCATGAACTCCATGGACCGGGAATGTTATGTGTAGCCCCTTGAGTTCGCTCTGTTAGAATAGTGATCAGTAACTATGAGCAAAATCAGCTCATTCGTCACTCTGCAGTATGAGTACATATTCTATGGTGGCTCATAATCTACAAGTAGACCGAGCAATAAGCTCTCTGCGTATACGGTAAACACACACCCCCATACCCTGCCGCATAGTGTCAGCATGTCGGTGACCATCTGAGTCGTGTAGCCCAGGTCCCTTGGACTGGTAACACCCGTTGTCCATCCGAGAGATAATACAGCGCCAGGAAATTCAAGGGTTTGATCAATGAAGTCATCAGGTGAGAACAGTGCATCCGTTCCTCCTGGGCCAGTGAGAATATCGGCATTCAACCAAAGCTCTAGATTGGTCGCTGTATAGGGTCAAAAGTAAATGCCGGCCTTAAATGATAAAAATGGAAATAGTAGTAACTGATACTTTGGGGTTAAGACACTCTATTCTCATGGATGCAGTAGTGCTTAGAGTGCGATCAATCGGACCTTATAGGACCTTTACAACACTCGCGCGTGTGTATACTCCGTGTAATCGCATAGCTTCATCGAAAAATTGTACACGGGGCTTGTCTGTCGAGCGCCGACCCGAGTGTGAGTCAATGTTCCACAAACCAATACATTGAAGAAATGACCAATCATAACAACCAGCGAGACGTACCGACATCCAGCTTATCGTTCTTCTTCAGCACTTTCATGCTTGGCTCCACGGCATTGGGATCCTTGAAGTCCAGCTTCAGCACGCGTACGCGCTCGCAGCCAACGACAAAAGCTACTAGATCAACTAAACGCAAATTGCTGACATACATCGGTGGGTGGCACATCACCAGGTCTTTCCTTTGACTCTCGTCTGTGACTGCGCTGAACGCAGATAAATGTAGTTAGTACCTGTGGCTTGGTACGCATCTTGTAAGTCGTATAGCTCATCACAATCGAGTGCTGCAGCCAATTGCAGAGTTTGTCGATTGCTGATGACTGTGCAGCATTGATATATTTCATAAAATCCATATCACATTGGGGTATATTTGACGTAGCTGAGAGATCAAATCTATCAAATATCATAGTCGACTGTTCTGCTCGAGTGTGATCGAATTACGCACCACTCAAGGCCATGTGAAAACAGAGCATTTGAGAACTCTGTCCCAATTCATCAAAGCGTGCAAATGATTAATGAATACGCATTTGGTTTCTACAGCAAGGCACGTACAATCCTGGCCTACATTAATGGTCTAATCACCGCAAGAAATACCACATTGCTGTTTATCCCCTGTGTTCAATAACACGCAATCATTGTGAGGTAGTCCCCTGATAAATTCACATCACGTTAGCGCTAAAGTGGCCTTAATGTATTTGCGGCTAGTTTCAACAGAAACCCTTTCAAGACAGGAGCGCTGATAAAAAATCGAACACGTGTATAATGTGCAGAACCTTCTTTATACCTGTAGTCATCTATTGGTTACTTACTATCTGTACAGATAGCCAACACATCACCTTATCAATCTATCGAATCAGATATATCGAATTGCGTTATAAAAGATGTAGTCCAACTAAAATAACCGTAGGTTTAGCATAAGCATAGAGATACAACTAGAATCATCGGTACATGCATTGGCGACCTGCGTCTATGTGTGTCGACGACAGCACACCGTCAAGAAGAGTTCCGAAATGTTAATCAATTCACACAAACATTCGCTGGCCCCGCGGATGTAGACGTTCGCATGTATGCATCGCGTAGGAAGAAAATGGAACTAAACACAGTTCATAATAAACGTCAAAATATATACATGAGGTTGTAAATTGCCCAACAGCATACACATTCACATCATACATGCACGTATTGGACCAATTGCGGTCCGGAAGGTGAGAGTACAAGCTTGCACCTTCGTCGCTATAAGAAATTCCATTCGGTAACACTAACAATATCAAATCTTGTCTCACACTTGTTTGCTCACTGTACCAAATGTAGTAACTGCACGAGTTTGTTTACAGCGATATGTCCCGTATGTGTATGTTTACTGTTTTAACTGTATAGAGTTTGCCTACTGAGCAATGTCTCACACGTGTTTGCTTACTGTCTTACCCTTTTCCTCCATCTCCGCTTTGCTAGTGCCTGTCTCTTGCCATGTTCCATACGCAACATCCGCTTCTACAAAAATAATCAACTCGTCTGCCAGCGCAATGTCTATCAGATCGCGCGTGTTTGTTGCATGAGCCCATTGAGCTGGTAGGGACGACGAAGTGATCCGCCGACTGTGTACATACCACAGCACACTTACACAAGCGACTATCAGTACAGCGAGGGCTTTGAAAGCAAAGTGTGTGTGTGTAAACGTGTACGCATGCATGTTTATAGTCTCGAGGTATTCTACCATAATACAACGAGTGCTTTGTATGCTTAGGCTGCGTGTCTATTCTGGTGCAACGGTGCAACGTAAACTCTTCATTTGCAAGTAGTGCTTAAATATGAAATAAACTAACACGCTATATTTCAATCAAGAGACCTAAGAACACAATATTTGGCCTTCTACATCAGACATACCGACCAGTCTTCAAATACATTTTTCATCATAGACCCCTCAAATAGTGACAAATACACAATTCATAATTTTTTTTTGAAACGTAAAATTCGTTTTGAAACACGTTTAAAATAAAGTAAAAAGCGGTGTCCTACGGACCTTTGGTACAACTATATTGTGTCGGTTGTACAACCCATGTTGTACTCTAACACATTTAGGAGATATTTACCTAGTATAAATATTTATATATCTAATTTTGTTTCTCCTTGTAAATACAGTATGAATTTATGTACATACAGTCAGACCTGGTTATTAGTCACCTGGTTAACTAGTCGACCTGGATACTAGTCCGGACAATTTCAGATATGGCCATATTTTTTCCCCTTTCGTTTCAAATTCTTGCAAAGGATAGAGTGACACTGATCGTATGGACAAATACTTCGGGAAGTGATAAAGTCCCTTTAGCGGTCATAGGCGCATATAAGAATCCCAGATGTTTAAAAGGAGTGGACCCACCATTACCATATATAGACCCAAAAAAACTCATGGGTGATTCTACAATTCAAGAGTGGTGGTTCACTGAAGTATTCCTCAAGCACGTACGTAAGCAAACAAAAGAACTGATTTGCCTCGTGATGGATAATTTTGGTGCATATATAGAAGAGGAAAGAGATGGGGTACATTTCGTACTCTTGCCTAAGAACAGTACAGCGGTATATCAGCCTATAGATGCAGGAGTTATATATGTCATCAAGACAGGTTATCGCAAACCTTTGTTGGAGATAGTGATTGAGCTTCTATCAGATAGAGAGAGGTTAGCGCCGAAAACGCGATAGACAACTCATAATGGAAGCAAAGACTCAGAAAGTAATGACAAACTTCTTTCCTAGAAAAAACCGTAGGAAGGCGAACACACTATGACACACTATGGGATGATTTACAGTCAAACTGAGGCATGACCTTGCGACCAATCACAGATCACAAGACTAGTCTTTTGGATACTAGTCCGGAAATAGGCCGGAACGGAATTGGTCTAATAACCAGGTCTGACTGTACTACATATTGGTCTACCCTTTCTCTATTTATGTTAAATCAAATAATATATTTAAATACTGTATGTCTCTCTCCTCGAGTCTCTCTATTTACTTGCTAAATACATACTCTCTGGGAGAGTTTCTAAAGATTCAAGATTCAAGAGATTAGACTGTAGAGAGAGCCACGGGTCCACGGCTGGGCAGGTATTTAAACGACGCCGACATTTGCCTAAACGTCATTATGTGTACGACGTGTCGGCACGACAATTTTTCACCTATGGCCGGCTGGCCCTCTGAGAGGGCGGTTCTGTAATGTATCCGCCTGAAATCTAAAAAATCTTCATTTTTTTAGATGACAGAAATCTTTATTTTATCAATGTGCCGCCTTTTATCGGCATAGACATATTAGTATATTTTTTTTAAATTCCAAGCTTTTTCTGTAAATAAAAAGAATCAGATCAAAGAAAGGCTTTTTATTAACTTTTCCTTATTTATCGAAAGTCGCTCCAAAGTCCCCATAGTGCAGGGCACACGGGGATATCATACAAAGTCTACGTGTAAGTACTGCCATTTCCAACACATCTTAAATATTATTCATACAGTATGTCTGACCATGAGGAAACGGACCAAGTAGCTCCGATGAAGGGAAGGGACCGTGTAGCCACGCTGAAGGATAGGAACTCTTTATACGACATAGGAGACAGTGCCAAAGTGGCCGAACAGAAAGTAAAGGACTCCGGCATGCCCAGACGCAAAGGTAATAAGGGTGGCCAGATGCATGTGGTTTACAACTGTGTTATATTGTTGTGCATCTAACGTATTAGGATTTTTGTATACTCGTTAGTATTATTCGGGAAGTATCTATCATGCAGATTATTGTGCGGGGAATAAAACAGGGCCCAATTATTGAACGATTGATGGGGCATCAATATTGTGATGCTATACTTCCATCAGTACTCAGTTCTGATTTAAAGTACTCGTTCAAACTGTGTATCTTAATATATCTTGACTTATAGATGCAGCATCTATCTGAGATCACGTCAAGAAGCCTTGGTCGTGTTGATCGTGGTAGTGGAGTATATTTCAACGACAAAAGTGATTGTGCGAAAGTTCGCTCTCGACAGTCGTCCAAGCAGTCCAAGTATAGACGCAAATAACTATTTTTATAATTCTCATAATACGCAATATAGCAAGAATAGTTTAGCGTATTTAGCTGACAGTCGGATTTCTATATATGAAGTGATGTAACTGCTATTTTCGGTGTTCAAACGTGCACCGTAAATTGTCGGACCCTGAATCAAGCGAATAGTAGTCACGGTTCATTAGTTTCTCTCGTACTGCTTTGGTTTCTAGCTAATGTACAGGCTATAACTGTTCAAATCCCTTCCCACAGAATCCCAGCTGGACAAGTACCCCGAGATCAGACCTAAAAAGGTGTTCATAGCACACTGAGCTCTGAAGCTATCCTGCGGCACCATTTGGCTGCGTGATGTCTCACGTTAAACTATATTTACAAAACTTATCCTCCGATGATATCCGAAACAGCGAAGCGAAACGCCGACAATGCGTATAGGAACCAAAGTCTCAGGCGCCGACTCTCTTACTGGGGATGAATGTAGTGTCCACAGGTAATGCAAAACAAAGCACATCATCTGGGTTCCGAATAGTATAACAACAAACTACTATCAGCCGACCTTCCGTACTTTCGTGTGACCTGACGGAATGACAGTGGAGAAAACCTCGCTTGCCTTTTTTAATTCGATATCCTAGCCAACTTCTAGAATAAATATACATATCAAACAGAAGGCTACGTGCTGTGTCTCCTACTCTCCGACTCTCCGTCTACACTATACTACACACACACACACTCTCTCTCTCTCTCTAGTACATAGAGATGACTCCTCTCTCTCTATATATATATATATATATATGTATTATATAGAGATGACTCCACTCTCTCTCGCTAGTACACAGAGAGGACTCCTCTCTCTCTAGTATATAGAGAAGACTCTCCTCTCTCTCTCTCTCACATGTGTACACACACTCTCACTACTAGTGGAGAGTATATACATTGAGAGGGCTCTTAGAGGAGTCTAGGTAGGAGTCTTTTGGCTATTTGTATTCCCAACATTATAAGACAGTTGGCGACTTGGCGGTGCCAATCCCTCCCCCCCCCTCCCCAAAATAAATAAATTGTATTTTAAAATCGAGACAGTTCACACTTCACCACACTAATTTAAAAAAATTATATATATATATTTTAACCTATGTAATGATAAATAATAAAATAAACCTCCCTCCGCCGCCACCTTTCAATTATTTACTGCAAGTTCATTCGACAACTTTGAAAAGTTAAGACTTCCGTATGGTGAAGCACTTACCAGGCACCACTGACCGCTATTCAATTATTTATTGGGAGAATATGAGACAGACTCTGTCCATCGCCATAACACATGATTCATACAGTGGCGCTCGATCAGTGTGTAGACGTAGAGTCGTAGACGATAAAGGAGCTGGTCGCAAGAAGTTCACGTTAGGTTCAAGGAAACACCATGACAAGGAATTTTATAGGATATAACACCAAGCAAGTATGGCTACGAAGTGATTAACTTCCAGGTAGCGTACAAATACCCACAAGCCTAACGCCTTATGGCTTCACCCAACTTACTGGATTCGTGGGGCTCCGACAATGTAAGTGGTACAAAATCATGTGCTCATGGAAGTATTTGATATATACTTGCATACATACGTACATACCTTTACATATAAATGCATATATATATATATATATATATATATATATATATATATATATATATATATATACACACACACACACACACACACACACACACACACACACACACACACACACACACACACACACACACACANACACACACACACNCAACACACCANAACNCACACAACCACACACACACACACACACACACACACACACACACACACACACACACACA